AGTTTCCTCCTTTCTGCCTCTTCCTTCATCTGTTCCTTTTGACTCCTTTTAGCTTTCTACCAATTCAAACATCTCTCTCCAACCTCACCACCTTTCCCGGTCTGCTGCGCCTAATTATACTCTTTTAATCAGTCCTTGGAGATGTCTTCTCCGTGTCTCTGAAAGCTGTCACTGAGGTTACTGTGCTGGCCTGTTTCTGAGACGTTTTGTTGTCCACATCCTGTTTGCCACTTAGACGACTGCTGGCTCCCATTCTGCAGCTTTAATGTGTAGGTAGAGCTGCAGTTGCCATTCACTGGAAATGTAATTTTGGATCCTGTCAGGCTCAGATGGCCTCTCTAACCTTAGGCTTGCTCTCGGTAATGTCTGTGGTATAACCCACAGTCAACAGTTTGTGGTTTGGATTTTAAAGAGAACAATTTCCTTTGAGTACACAACTGCCGCTGACATAAATGGCAAGACTGCAAGATGCCTGTGCTAATCCACGGCTACTAAATTTAATCTGACAGCAAGACCAGTCACTCCGCTCTCGGCAGCCGAGTGCTCATTGAAATTAATATTCTGTGAACCCCTGAGACAGCTCCACTGGTGTTAATGAGGGTGCCCTTGCGTGCTCCTGCCCTCCCTCCCTGGCCCCCAAAATCGTTCTTTCCCCTCCCTGCTTTTGATATGCTTGCCTGTTTTACAGAGCTGTTCAGAGAAGCGGGGATGCCGAAGGGCAGGGAATATTAGCTGGTAATACATCCTTCTGAAGGACGAGCTAGGTGGCAAGCTTAAATCCTAGCTTAAACTTTTGCTGCTGCTTCCCTGGTGAGAGCGTTCCCCTCCCCCCCAGCCCGCCCCGCCGTGTGAGTTATTTGCGACATAAATACGGATTAAAAGGGGAGGATGAGTGAAATTAAGACACTTTTCCTTCTTGCTCCCAAAAAAGGCCTGACGCAGCCGGGGAGTCAGTCCTCTGGAGCCTGCAAACCAAACCGTGCTCGCCGGCTGTCGGCGCGGCCCTCTGAGCCCCACGGCTAGCTGGTGTATTTAGCAGTGCTGCAGCAACAGCACTTGGCACACGCCCTGAGAAAGGGAGACGGCAGCGCAAAGACGCGTTCTCGCGTAGCACTTGCGTTTCTAATTAGTAAAAGGGGAGGCAGCGCTTCGTCTCCGTTCTGGGGGAATTCTTGTAGCCATGAAAGATAGTCCTAAGGTATGGTTTTGGCCCTGTAGCCTGAGGCTTTCAACAAAAGTGCCAGCCAGGGTGGCTGCAAAGGAGACCCCCCCTGCTGCCAGGGGGAGCTGCCAGCTCAACGCCCTGAGCGATGACTCCATTTCTGTGCAAGAGGAAGTGGGTAAAACTTGCAAGTGCCTTTGAGGAGCCAGAAAAGTTAGGCTTTCCTGTAAGTGAGGCTCTAGCTTTTATGGTTTTTTTTCTTGAGATGCTTCCACCTCAAGAAGCGTCCTGTGCATAGATTTCTTAATGTAAGCAATGGTAATTCAACCTCTGAAACTGCAAGGATCCGTGCTAGGTTTTTGAGATCTCCTTTCCTCATTGCTGACCAGTCTGCCCCCATTTCCCCATGCTAGCATTATTGCTCTTGGCCACAAAAATCCTCTTTTCTCCACCCCATCTCACCTCAGCAGGAGCCAAACCCAGGCTCGGGTGGGCTTGCTGCAGGGAGCCGGCTGCTGCGTCCCAGCCAGCCTGTGTGGCCTCCAGCCGCTGCCTTCCGCTGCTGCCACCACAGCTGATCATCAGCTCCAGCAGGCAGCAGGAGATACTGGAAGGGCAAGCAGCAGGTTACCTGCTGATCGTGGTGATCACCTCCGGAAAAAAAGCAGCAACAAAAAACTAGACATCCAGAATAACCCCCAAACTCCCAAAGCTCTCTTCTTTGTTGAGTCTTTGGCACTATTAATTTGCACACAGTGGCCGAGAATTGAAAACGTAGAGGCTGAAGTAAACTCCCAGTATCTGGACACAGTGTGTTTATTGTGTGTCTTTAGTTTTAACAATGCTCTTAAAGGACCCTTCTTCTTTATAAAGACACGCACTGAGTGGCTAAACGTAACTGTTTTTAAAATCTAGATAATTAAGTCAATTTAAATTTTTTAAAAGTTTTACCACTAAAGAGGAAATGTGCAGACTGAAAATAACTTAAGGAGTAGGAAAATTTTTCAGAGCTGTGCAGCTGACTGTGCTCCAACAGTCTGCTTTTTCCCACCTGCTTATCTCCCGTTGATAACACTTGGTGTATGCAGGAACACTTCTGTACATGCAGGAAAACGTGCAACTAGACAAGAGAGTTGCTTCAGTCGCTTCTGTTGCTTCTCATTTCTGTCCTTGTGTCTTTGCTTTTTAAATAGTCACTGTGCTAGACACTGTCAGGGGCTAGGCGAGGCCTCTCATATTTTTCAAGTTTTTTTCTGTTCTGTCATTGATTTACACCACTTATGATAGATTCTTTATCACCTGCTCCCTGCAAGGCAAACTGCAGGGCTGCTTCCTTTCTGTAGCAGCTGTGCTGGAGAACAGCTGATGAGGAACAAAATGGGAGCTCCTGAGCAATCATTTGGAGACTGGCTATTAAAAAAAAAAAAATCTAGCTAATTAGAGCTTAGTGGAAGAGGCAACACTTTATGCAAAAACACCAGAAGGTGGGCCCTCCAAATCGCATATACTCCCTCTAAATAGCTGTAATTAACCCTGTAGTATTCACTTTATTAATTAAAAGTTAATTAATATTTTCTATCTTTGACAATCATCTTAGAGGTGGTCTCAGGAAAATGTAGTGGCAGCTGGGCTTCCTTAGAGCAGCAGTAACATTCAGGAAGACGGAAGCTGGGGAGACTCCTCTGAGTCCCAGTTGCACCTCTGATACAACAGAGTTAAAACTGGTGACTAAATAGCTGGCGAAGAAGGGAGGATGGGAGACTGCAAGCCCACAGCCATCCCCTGCACAGACAGGCAACACTAAACTTGCAGGCATCACCCTACAATTTTTCCAAACGGTGTGGCCAGCACTTACTTGGGTTATTCAAAAATGCAAGAGGAGTAGTGAGAAGACGAATACCGTTGTTACTCATTTGCCCGTACCAACTGAGGACTGCCATACAACACCGTGCTTCACTCTGCTGTGAGCAAAGCTTGGTGCTTTGCCTTAGTGGCGTGAGCTCAGCAGGGGTACCTCTCCTGAACTTGACAGGCCCCATCAAAGTAGCATGGTTATTGCTAAAAATGGTGTGTCCATGGTAGCAGTTTGACACGCTCCTGTTTTGCTCCAGGACTGCGTTTCCTGATCGCTCACACTACACATGGCAATTAAGTGTCTGAGCCCTCTTCCACAACAAATCAATTGGTATCCCCGAGGGGAAACCTGAATGTAGTCAACAGTGTAGTTCACTCTAGGGTCTGTTCCACACAGACAGGGATAGATGTGGAGGACTTCCAGGACGCTGTCCAACCAGGACAGCCCCTCAGCACTATTCCAGGTTAGGCTAGACCGTTATGCGGGCCCTCCCCCATCATTTTTTCCTGAAGCTCACAACAAATATTTCTGGCATTGTAATGTTTTTGACCCACCACTGCTTTGCTGGGCTGCAGCATGCACCTGTCATTATTCTGTATATTTTGAACTTTTTCAGTTCAAAATTTGGTTCAAACATCTTTTTCAGAACACGAAGCCCATCCACAGAAAATAACAACTGTTGGCCACAGGGTGGCCAGAGGAGACCCAAGCTGAGTACTATGGGGCATGGCTGCAGCCAGTCCACTCAGTAAGGTGTGAACTCTTAGCAGCGTGGACATGAGCCGTTTTGCAAAAACTGGCCTGTGGGTAAGGGTCTACACTACAGACCTCGTGAGAATGACTATGAGGTAAAGAAGGTCTGTTATTCCCCATATTACAGAAGGGTGAAGACTGAATCAGCAAAAGAACGTACAGAGAGGATGTTGAAAGCAGATCTAGATCATGGGGAAAAAGCTCTCAGCACAGAACTGTTAGATAAAAACAAGTGTGGAGAGGAAATGGGACCCAAGCACTATCCTCACCACCATCTTCTTGTTTTCTCTCCACTCCTCTGGGCGAAACATGATGGGTTAGGCATGTTTTTGATACACCTAGTGGATCAGGCCCTTCTGGTAATGAAGTGACGTGCCATTTCTCAATCCCAAGGAGGCAGGCACCAAGCTGTTTAGTGCTATGAGGTCAGAAATGCTTCTGAGCACACCCAGAAGCAGAACTGGAGGTTCCTGGTGAACCTCAGCATTAGAAAAGATGAGTGTCACAATCTGAAGTCTCTTTTGACTCTAGGCTTCAGCGTGTAACTGCAGCTTTAGGACCATCACAGACATTGCCCTTATGGGTCAGTCCTGTGGTCACACAAGCAACCAACCTCAGGCTCACCAGATCATGAGCTACACCTCCCACCAGTTTTGTGCTCCCAGGCATGGCCAGCACTGAGGGGTTAAAGCAGCTCCCTGTCCCTGTGGGAAAAGAAGCACCTCTGATACCCTACGAAGGTGCTCGCACAGGGCTGTCACCAGCCTGCCAGAAGCGAGGTCGGAAGGCGGGGATGAAAATGGCCAACATCCATTGCTGTTGCAATTGTTCTGTTGGCTTCAGGCTGGGGCGTCTGATTCAGCAGTGCTGAGTCACAACAGTGTTTAATCTCATGTTGCCACATGTTATGAAACAGGCCTGATCCGTTGTTACAACGCTGATAATTGTAGCTGGATTTCAGTAGAAGTGAAGGAGATAGATAGATGCTCAGAATCACTGCGGTCTTAACACTGAAGTGAAAGTCAAAATGAGGACAGTAACTGTCCAACAACTATTGCAAGGCTCCAATACTGCCCTAAGTTTGCATATATCATGTACCTCTTTCTTCTTTTCTTTTTAATCTGGTAAATGATCTCTTTACTGAATTTTTTAAAAAGTACTTCCCTCACCTTTTGAAAATCCACTAGCTTCTCGGACTTTTACCAAAAGAAGAAGAGAGGAAGAAAAACTCCTAGGTAGCTCACTGCTAAGTTTTGAATTCGACATTCAGAAAAACAAATACATCCAAAAGATCTCTGCTTTATTGTTAGTCATTTGTACTAACCTGCAATTAAAAGGCTCAGCATTTGTTCTCATCTCTTTCTGAAATTACGTTTTCCAGTTCCTAGGCCCTGGCTGCAGGCAGTGGATTTTTGAAGCAATCATGCCTTGATAATTAATGTTTAAAGATGAATGTTGCAACTTTTAACATAGTGTGTCGCTGAGTAAACATCCAGCAGTCCCTTGCAGTGAAAAAATATATAAAAACTACAAGGCTTTTACTGGAAACTGCAGGTTTTGCAGACATTATCCACGAAGCTCCCAGCTGACACGTTTGATTACCCCTTCCTGTATGTTCATGGATGTGGGATGCTGCCGTGCTTAAAAAAAAGCAGAAGAAAATAAGTACCGCATCTAATCCGTTCTTTGTGCCACTGACTCACCACCCCAGAAGGCTTGCTGGGAACGATGAGCTCATACCAAGAGGGAGAAGACAAACCTTTGACAAATCATCTCTAGTAATAACACAATCAATGCCATTTTGGATTTTTGCAAAAGGGCTGGAGGAGAGGGAGGACTCCTCCAGGAGGAGGAGGGGGAGAGGGAGGAGGGAAGCGGTAAAAATGAAAGAAAGAAGGGAAGAGTGTGATCAGAAACTCCCTTTCTCCTTCCTGTCCCTTCGTTTGTGCCCAGCTTGCATTTTCTTTGTAGATGTCACCACTTCTTTCCTCCGTTACTAACCCTGTCGGTCATACCTGTGATCTCAGCCCTTCTTCCATGGGGCTTGCGTGTGATGCCGAGTGTTCCTCAACTGCATTTCTGACTTCCTCCTGCCTGCACTTTTTGCTGCTCTAGAAATTAAAGCAGTGTATCGTCCCTTTCCAACAGAAATCTGTAGCATCAGGAAAGGCAAGTGGCAAGATCGGCAGTTTTGGTGTTCTGGAGAGGGGAATGGGTGGTCCGCATTGAGATTGCCTGCTTACTTCAGGTGTCTGACTTGGGCATTGCAATCCTGATTCAGCCCTTTAGGCAGACACACCTCGTGCCTAACATTTCCCAATCAGTTGTTGCAAGGCAGCTGCCTGTTCACCTGAGAGTCCCCAGCCAGGCGATAAAGAGTGGAAATGTGCTCACGCTATCTTGTGTGTGGTTTCTGTAAGCAGGGATGAGGGGGGTCACACTATGGCCCTGGGAGGGCGCTAGATGTGCCAGGGATCCTATATTGCCTTCCCGGCTCTCCCTAGCTATATCCCCTTCCTTCTGATCTCCATCTGACCTCTGAGTGCTGTTTTACCTATGCTGGGGTCTTTCCTGCTCCAGCAGGAGCCAGTGGCAAAATTCTCCAGCTGCTCAATTGGAAGAAGAACAGAATCCTATTTTGGGCTAGTTTTCCGTGTTTTTTGTTCTTTTCTGCCTTCCAGAAAAGAGAAATTCCCAATCTGACACACAACTGGCAGGTCTGCAAACCAAGTTCAGAGCAGGTGCTTTGGGCTTTGCTACTCTTTGATGTTCTTTCTGCTCAAAAGAAACCAAAACCCAAAGAGCTCCTGGAAGAGCTCCACATATCTGATTCTGCAATTAAGTATGAAAACAGAACCTCCCAAATCATCTTGCCTTTCTGGAAGTGAAGTTCAGGCTCCAAGAAGGATTAGTAAGAGAAACATTCAGCGATAGTCATACTCATTTGGGTAATGGGCAAGTTTCTGCCTGCGCTCACTTCTAGTATTCATTATGAATGTGTATTAGCGACTTCCTAAGCAGTAATCCCAGCTGAATAATAAATGAAGTATTGCCTTCTGCTTCAATAATTTCCTGCTTTTAGCATTGTTTATATACCATCAACAGCATGCTGTTAACTGGGTGCCCAGTACTTGGCCCTTTTACTATCCATTGCTTTAGTTAGCTGCCCTGATTCCTGATGCTAAAAGAATTAAGCTAGCTTTTAGATGATTTTGCTTTTGTACTGTGCAGTGATTTTGAATCTTTTCTTGGTTTGTGGACTCCCTTAAAAGTTTTCCAGTAAAGGTGCAGATGTCTTTGTGCTAAATTTAAGTCTGCTTAGAATAGCCCGCTTTTCTCTGCTGCTTTTCACAGATCCCTTAAAAAACAGCAGTCCACAGAACACTACTGCAGGATACAGGGTGCTTTGGTTATTTTTCAGGTTAAACATGACACAAATTGTTCAGCATTTTGCTAAACTGAAGTCTTACAGGGTCCTATGAAAAGGAAAATATTCCGGGAGTAAAAGCAGTATGTTTTTCAAGAAGTGCTTAATCCTTAGCAGATCATGCAAATAGAGTGTAATAGAGAATCGAGGGCAGATAATGAAAAGATTTTGTTTGACCTCAGTGAATTCTCAAACAGGCCAAGAACATGTGCTTGCCATTGCTAACAACATTCATTTAGTAGGGTTTCCCTTACCAGATTGGGAATTTGTTTTCCTTCTCTGTTGTTGGTGCAGAAAAACTGAAACCACTCAAAGAGATCATGTGTGATCCACTGTGTTTAGAGATATGGAGTTGCCTTTGACTAGAAGATAGCTCCCAATTCCGTGTTCAGCCATTTAGTTTTGGTCAAAAGAAACATCATCACCAGGCTTTTTAGCTGATGCCCTGAAACAGTGCATATTCATCCTCAGCACACCCTGCCTTCCTGGATGGAGTCTTCACTGCACACCTGTAAAGGAACCAACATCAGCAAACAAGAAGCAGCTGTTTCACATGCCGGCTCACATTGTGTGTGTGTACGTGCATGCCAGTGGGCATGTTTATTAAGCCTTTCTAAGTTTATATGTCTAAGGTAGCGAGTGTTTACCTTTCTTTTTCTCCTAGGCTCCACTCCCATTTTCTTGAAATCCTTGTCCCCGGATTTAACATGTCATTCCTACACTGCCTGCTCTGAAGTCTATGGACTTGGACTGGGCAGACTCCCAACAGCTTCAGCTCGGACTAGATTTGCACTGGTACATTTAATCTAGAGGACACTTTGAAAGACATGCAGCTGTTGACTTCTAAGCCATTCCATGAGGTCCAGGGTTTGTAAAAAAGCAAGCAAAGACACAGAGCTATTTGCTCAGGAGCACAGTTGCCTAAGTGTCAGAGATGAGGGTAAAATTTAGGGGTCTAGCTTTCTACTTCCCCCAGAACAAAACGAATTTGCGTTCTTTCTTTTTGTTTTGTCTCTTCCGCTTTCTTCTCCCAACATCTTCGCTGTTGGAGGTAAAACGGCCAATGTGATTTATGCGCCTTTTCTTGTGCTGAAACCAACAATGAACGCTGTCGGTTTTTCTGAAGGAAAATCTTTCCCTCAAGGTGCCGTGTGCTGCAGTTTTCTCTCTGGGAGCGTGGGGTGGGGAAAAAAAGTTCCAACAGTGACCTTTTTGCTAGGTAACCTTTCCTTAAAATGCCAGCAACTGAGTTCCCACAAAGGCAAACAACAAATATTGAAAGAGGAATGTGAAGGACATTATGAAAGGGTAAAGCAAGAAAAAGGGATCTGCTCAGACAAGTTTTGCAGGAAAGGTGATGTAATATGTACTGCAGAAAATACTAGCAGTTGACATAACTTACTCTCTTTCTAAGTAGCTGTTGCTGCCAGCAAACTGGGAGAAACAAAACCTACAGGCAGGAATACAGTTGAGCAGATTGTTTTCTCCATTAGAAATACAGTAGATATAAACCTCATTTTCAAAAGATGTCATTGAGGTTTAAATGAATAGTCTCCTATTAATTAAGGCAGAGAAACTGGTAGATGAAAGTCCCATTTCTCTTGGGGCCATTTATGGTGATACATTAAATCTGGGGAGTGCTCAGGAGGCTGCTGCTGGGATACCATGGTACACAGTTCGGTTACAAGCTTGCAGGGCTATTCCTGTTTTAGCAAGGACTGAGGAAACGTTTTAAGGGCTATCTTGAAAATTACCTGGTTTTGTATTGACTAACTCTCACATACTTAAGCCTGGTTTCCTAAGGAAATAAGATTGAAATGACTCTTGTGTGTGTGAGAGAGTGTCCACATCCATGTGTGTATGTGGGTTTGGAACCTCCTTGCTCCTTGGTTACTATAACCAGATGTGACAGAGAGGCACATATTACAATTTTACACGTATTACAATATTGCACATATTACTCCCACATATTACAAATTGTGGGAGTAGGGGGCTGACTAATGAAGAGAGTCCCTCTTGATCTTCTCCATAGGGCAGAGGCTGCAGGGAGCTGTGCTCTCACTTGACCTTGGAGAACCCATGAGGCCCAAATCTGGGGAATCCCCCCCTACTTTTTTTTTTTTAATTCCATTTAATTCCCAGAGCCTGCTGGTTTAAAATTCTTGGCTGCAGCATTAATTGTTTTATCTTTAAAAACATTAGCTATGGTACGGTGTTCCTCCTGCAACATGTACAGCAAAATGCTGCATGTACTGAAATGGATAAACACAAGCTGCCATTAGAAGAATGAACATATTATATTCAGGTAAGCTAGTTCATAAAAAGTGGATGAACAGGCCAACAGGAAGTCACAGCATATACACTACTGTAGATTTATTCACTATTGCAAACACAGGAAGCGTGTGTAGGAGAAATGTCCATTAAAATTGTCTTTAGTTGTAGGACTGAAACACAATAGTTATTTGCTTTTCACAAATATTGCTGTCATTGTTCAGACATCTGGTAGACATGGTTCCAAGCAGAACAGTGTATGATTATTTTCATAAAGATGTTGTGAATGAGCTCACCTTGAGGTTGGACAAAGCTATAGGAGATCTTTATGTTGGCAGCTCCCTAATGTTTTTGATGGGATTACTGCTGTGTCAAAATGTCACGTGCTAATTTCATGCTTTACTGTGAAATGATTAGAAGTAGGACTGTCAGTACTACATATTGCCTTGGAGCGGGAAGGCAAGTGGCTCTGTTGAATCCTTAAGAATTGTTTGAATATTCGTTACCTCCCTCTATCTCCTACCCAGTCCTTTGCCTCTTTCCTTTTGGTGTAGGTGGAGTCTGGATCAGAGCTGTCAGGACAGCTTTTTAGCTGGATTGAGGCTACCAAGTGATAAGGATCTTGAACTGTTTTATAGGAGTGGCACCAAAAAGCCTGTTGTTATGCCAGGTTGCTGTAGAGGACAAATAACGTTCCCAGGTTCATCAGCTGCCTAAAAATCAAGCTGTAGGTATAGAGCTTCAAGCTAAATATGCTAAGTTAAATCTCAGAAGTCTGCTTCCACTGCATGACTGAGTTTAAAATAGTTATAATTATAGTCATCAGCCTATCATAAAATTATTTTAAATTGTACCAGGAAAAAAATAACTAGAGCATGGTGCTTTGTAGCTGACATTTCAATTTCTCTCCCTGTTGCGCTGAAGCTACAGAAGATGGGTGTCTTGCTCGGACACCTTCACACTGTTTTGACATTGGGTTGCATTTCCCAAAATCCCTCAGTTACAGCAATGCTGAGGTCAGAAAAGTGCAGTGAATCACTGGAAAAGCCCTACCCAGTGCCAAAAAACCATCTTGCTTCTTGACCGTGACAAAAGCTCAAGACTTCTTTGTGCAACTTCAATTTACATCATAAACTGGGAAGCACAGAAAAGTTCTCTGAAGCTAGCCAGTTACTTAAGAGAATAAAGTGGCACTCTCAGTTATTTTCACTAGGGAAGACAAACATCAGAAGGAGATATTACCTATCAGAGTGAAAAGTTACGCACACCTAGGCACCCCTTTCCCATTCCCACATTACCCCCCCCCCCACCCCCCCCCCCCCCCCCCCCCCCCCGTGCATACTTGCGCTTCTTTCTGTAAAAGCCCAGTTGTAGCTTGAAAGGCTCATGTCAAAAAGAAAGCTATCTAAGGACCTCGTGATGTGTTTCTTCTTTAAGAGCCTGAGTACAGTTGCTAAAAGTCTGAGAATAGTTACTGCTCTCATTTGAATTTCTTCCCTTCCCCACCCCCAAACAGCTTCAAATTGTATAGCAGGAAGCACGTTAAACATCAAGTCTGCGAGGAATGGGAAACAACGTCACGGGGCTGCAGCTCCAAGGGTTGCAGACAGCACACCTCTTCCTATTAAAAATCAGCCACTTTTTTGGGGTTTCAAGCATGAACAGTCCATCAAAAAGCTACCTGAAATCCATTTTCTGGGTGATGGAATGCACGCCTGCCAAGTTTGCTTCCTATTAGGTTATTAACACTTTCTGCATCTGTAACTGCTGCTTATTGAAGGAAGGGCTTCTCTTCCTACCAGAACCCTGGGACTAATTAAAACATTGCCATTAATGTTTAATGAGCAAGTAGTTACTGACACCAGTAAACCCACTTAGACTCTCAGTCCCGTAAAGCACAAATGGCACGTACTGAATCACGGTTAATAAGCTGATTTGGGGAGAATTGCAGTCAGCAGAGCACAGCTTGTTGCCAAAGTGAAAAATGAGTGGTTGCGTTCTTCTTACTTTCCCCACCAGCCCGTGATATTACATATGCGAGCTAGTATTCATCTCTCAGCAAGGCACCCAGACCTTGCAGGGCCAGTTCTTTCTTCCAGTAAGGCCTTTGCATCATAAAAAGGCCCAGACAAAACATCCCCAGGGGAAAATCCTGTGCTTATAGGAACTTCCGAGCCAGGCTGCAGCACCACTGCTAGCCTAGCTGCTTGTCCTGGGCGCAGGAGAGTGGCCTGGTAGAAAGGAGCAGCCAGCACAAAATGAGAAGAATAAAAGAGACACCTGAGGGTGTAGCTCATGGGTCAGAATATAGAGAAAAGAGGAAAAGAGAAAATCTTGCTCCTGTTCTGTGCCATCTTTGGGCAGAGGAGCAGATCTGATAAGTCTGAGCTCTGTGTGTCTGTTAGCCAATTCTGCTATCTTGTTGATTGTACATCTGCACAGTAAGCTCTCTGATCCTGTTGTCTCTTGTACCGAGTTATACTTTACTTAAAGTGACTGGATTTACACTGAAAAAGTGTTACATGAGGGGAATAGGGTTGAGAGAGTGTGGGTCCTCACTGCTAATACTATAAAGCTTAAAATAAAATTATTTCAGGCCATTTCACAGTGGATTTACAGAGGAAATGGTGAGAGAAGTGAACAATGCATTTTATTCCAAATATTTTGTGTAAGTAAGATTAAATACACATCTGAACACTGTCACTTTGAGGTACATTCCTAGTCTGGCTTTGCTTTTGCTTATAGTGGTATAAATCAAGAGTAACTCTACTGAAGTCAGTAAAGTCATTACCTTATGCAAAAATCAAAAAAGAGAACAGGTCTTGCTTTTTAGCTCTACCAGAAGTCCCATTCAGTTCAGAACAAATACAGCAAACTCTGAAGTGCAGTGCAAGAACAGAGCCAATTGGTAAATCTGTGCCCCAAGTTCAGTACAGTTCTCGAGCTAAATTTTCATCTGAGTAAACTTGAAAACTGCAGCACTAAATCTCCTTTTCCTGCAGTACAATCTAGTTTCTTTTCCCCACAAGGAATTATATTTTCCTTTTTGCAAACAGAGACCACATGAGACACATGGTTTGACTTCTGAGGAAAAACCTCGAAGATCATGGCTTATATGTATTTAAAAAAAAAAAAAAACTCAAAAACAACAACCCACAAACTCATGTTCTGAAGTTAAGTGCAGTTTTTAGGTCTATCTACTAGTTTTCTGTGTACTGGAAAACCATGGCCTTAAAGGGGAAAGACAATTGTGATAAGTCATTAAAAACAAGTTAGCTAGTAAAGTCGTTTTTCCATTCTGAAGGTGGCTTGTCATACGTTAGTGAAATGAACTAGTCACATAGCACACCTTTCACCACTTCGAAAGGCTGGACTTTCCCATGTGTAATAGGAGCAGCTCTGCATATTCCTCCAATAAGAGGAGTATCCACTCCTTTTTGTACATACACTGCTATCACTCCACAGTTTCTGATTATGTTTTATTCGTATGCAATCATAAATCACTCACAAATCAGTCCTAGGCC